GAGGCTTGGTAACTTACCCAAGCTCACCCATTTAGAAAGTGGCAGAGCTGGGACTCAAACCACATGTTCTGAGTCCAGAAGCAATAACTGCTGGGCTGACCTGGCCAGATTACAGGGAGGGGGGAACCTTAATTCCTTTTCTTCTTTAAGAATGAGCGAGTGGAATGTGAGGTTGGGAGGCCTTTGTCCTGAAAGACCAAAAGATTAGGCCAGACTTTCATGATCTTTCCAAACCACGATCCTGTGCGCTCCTTGTAGGATAAGATTCTTCTGTGATACAAAGTCGGGAGCCCCTGTCTCCCCAAGTGGTCCACTGGTTTCCCTTTCTCCATGATAGTGAACGTGAAGAGGTTAGCACAATCCCGTGGGATCTAAGAAGCTTAAGAGCAAGGTGTTTAGCTGTACTCTGAGGCAGAACAATGCTCTTATGAAGCTGTTGTTCACCATCTGCAAAAACCAGAGAGCTCGAGTGACTTGCCAAAACCCACAGAGCAACTGCTCGGGAAAAGGCAGAATGCACATTTCAACCGCTGAGCGCCCATCCTGGACACATTTCTGCTATGAACACTCCTGCATCATTACTCTCCATACTCTGCCTCTTCCAAAGCTCTGACTCTCTCCTCACACTACAAAGTGGCATTTCTTCCAACCCCCAGGTCATGGCCCAGGGGGTTTTTGAGAATGGCTCTCCTAATCAGCAAAGAGGACAGGTTTGGAAATGGCTTTTCCCCTCCATTTGGAGACCTTCAAATGCTTCATTCTAACTTACTCAAAAGCATGCTGCTATTCTTCTCTCACATCCATCCTTCACATGCAATAACATGCAAATTTAATTTTAAAATTGTTTAATTTGAAAATTTTTGCCATGTTTCAAAATGTCAGCATGCTCTCCTGCCCCAGAAATATACATAGAATACAAACGTGGGCAGCTCAGCTCCCACACAGGGGAGCCAAGGTTTCAAGCTGCTTTTGAAAGCCTGGGAACCAACCTGTTTGAATCTCCTTACGCATCCTGGCCACTGCACTGAGCGACAAAACCTAGTCTTGCCTTCCCATCCTCGGGGTCTAGAATCACACCCCTCCTGCTTGGTCTGTGAGGAGAAATCTGAAGGCATTGGGTTGAAATGGAAACAGAAGTAGAGTTATTACAATAACCAGAAAGCAGAAATCTAAATTGGCAAAGAGCATGTAATACTTTTCTGTGAGTTAAAGCAATTAACTGTCCCCAAATGAAGGGCGAGTTTCACTTGTGGTAAGCTGATTTGAGAAAGTATGGGTATGATATAAAATAACACAGAAACTCATAGTGATCAAATTAATTTCTTTTTCTCTTTCAATTTTAAACTGTATAAGAAAGTTTCCGTTTGGTGCTGGTAGGTCATTAACTCTTCTCTTATACTTACTAATCTCACCTTTCAGCAAAGAGAAAGCAGGATTTGGGACTCAGCAACTTGGCAAGAACATTTGCTAGAATGTAATAATATTGGTGTGTTTCAACTTTATTAATTTCTCAGTTATCTTCTCTCTGTGGAAAGTGACACGGTTTTATCAGTTTCTGTAGCAATCTGGAACTTTGCTTCCATGGACCAGGCATCACGTGGGAGTTGTAAATGCAGAATCCTGGGTCCTACTCAGGATCTCCTGAATCAGAACCTGCATTTTCACAAGATCCCCCAGATGAGGCTGATGCACATTAAAATTTGAGAACTTATCTACAGTTTGCATTTTAAACACATTTATTTACAAAGAAAAAGTGGATTGGTTTAAATAGAAATGGTATGAGTTAGTATTCAGATACGTGGAAAACCATGGTGGTTGTTCAGGAATGCTGGGAGTGACTTGGGTACAGCATTTTGCTAATGAAACCAAGACATGGGGATTGAGTCCTCCAGGGACCAGTATGTACCTCTGAACGACTGAATACAAGCCACTCATTGTCTGTGCTGAGAGGAGGGACAGATTATATGGGGACTGTGGCTCTAGCCTTGGCCAGCAACTTTACCCCAGACCCGCCCACCAAGGCTTTGAAACTTTCCCTCTATGGGCCATGGCTTCCCCTCATGCTGGCTCTTCCCCAAGTGTGCTGGTCATGGTTCACGACTGCTCTCTGCGGGGAAATCTGAGCATGTGATTTATGTGCCAGTCAAATTCACAATACCACTTAAAGGCAACATGGAAATTTCTGTTGATATTTTCTTTATGCAATTTTAGAAATAGAATAAATTTTAAAATAAAATACTTACATTGCCATTCCGTTTGCACCTATAACTTCAGTGTGACTTGCCTTTTATTGCAAAATCCGCCAACCGTTTTTATAATTCTATCATCAACGATAGTGGCACAATATCAGACTACAGAAAAATACTTATTAATATCTTATTAAGCAAAAAGTCACTCACATCAGTGATGAATGGGGATCGCTCTGCTATAAATTTTGATTGATAGTTTCCTTGATCTCAATGGGTTGATTCATCAATGATGTAAGTAACTTCATACTGGAAAAATATTTCCTCTAATTTTTGTGCTATTCACAATGCAATAGCTACAGACATGACCCACTTTTAAGTTTAATCTGCATTATTAACATTTTCTGCATCTCTTTCTTAAGTCTAGACAATCAACAAAACAATAATTCAATCCCTAACTCGTAATGTTTGCCAATTTCCATGGTGTAAATACTCTCACCATGGCTGATTTCAAACCACCAACTTGACGTCAGCGAGCACAGAGTGTGCAGAGATGTGCAGGGGCACACCACCCTGCGTTACTCCCACCACACAGGTACCATCGGTGTGAATAACCTCAATATCGTAGATAACGATAAACTGTAAATAATTAGCAAGTGATGTGTTTTGAGTATTTGTTACCATTTTTAATATAACTTATTTAATTGTAAGCTGATATAATTTAATTTTTAATGATGGCTGTGTTTAACAACCAGCTTACAAAATTCCTGAAAATTTAGCCGGCTCCAGCTCACAGCTGCCCTGGCACTCTGTGTAGCTGCATTGCCTGACTTTATTTTCCTGCAAGGTCACCCTCTCTCCTGCCTCCCACCCACCCACACAGCCCATCTGGCCAGACCCCAACCCCAAAGAGAGGAAGAAGAATGGGGTTACTGATCAGAGGAGGACTTGGCAGACAATGAAGGTGTCTTAGAGTGAGCCACCCTCACTTTGCAGAAGACAACTCCAGTTTTGGGGGGGTCTTAAATTGATGGATTGGTGGAAGTGGCAGCATTAAATACACATTAAGAGCACAGCTCTGGGGTCTGCTGCTGGGCTCAAGTCCCAGCTTTGTCCCTTATAGGCCATATGGTCTTGAGTAAATAACTCAATGTCTCTGTGCTTCAGTTTCCTCATGTAAAATGGGAATAACAGTGATGCTTTCTTCATAGGGTTGTAAAGATTAAATGAGATTATGGACTTAAAGCTGCGAACAGAGTGCTTGGCACAGAGTCAGTGCTTAACACATGTTCATCATCATTGGTAGTATTCAGCCCATAGTGGCTTTCACAAACTCATTCGTTGGCTACTATTACATTTTACATATAGAAAATCTACACGGCCAATATTTGCATGCTTTTAAGGTTCTAAAAGCTTCCACGTATATAACCTGACGGAAGCCTCATAGGGACCCCAAGAAGTAGCCATCATGTGGTTGTCATTCTCCAATCATTGTCACCTACATTCTGTGGGCAGGGACAGGGACTCAGAGAGGCTAAATGATGGCCCAGGGACACACAGCCATGGGCTGACCAGTCAGAGCTGGGCTCAAGGCTTCTGTTCTCTTTCAGCCATTCCCAGGCCTTTAATGGACATTTTTGTAGAGCTCTTTACAGCCCTCAAACAGCAAGAACTGGCAGAACTACTGAGATATGAGCCTTTTGACTTGGGGTTTCTTAGCCAGTCAAATAGATTAGACTATTTTTGCATAATTCCATAAATAAGTACTAATCTATGGGGAAAATGGTAAATCCAGAAAGCCAGTAACCTAGGAGAGAAAGCAGTTTTTTCCTCCTTCATCAGTGGCTGGGAGACATTCCACCAGACTGCACTGAAGATGAGTGGGGATGATCTCGAGTTTCTTCCCTTTTCCTCAGAAATGAGAAGAGTAACAGGGTCCTGCTCCCCTGAATATATGGGGAGGAATCAGAATGTGTCCATCTTGCTCTGGGGAGAAGATTCAAAACACAGCCCTTCCCTCGTATTAACAACTGCGGCCAGACGCGTTTTCACAAGGAAGCAGGGACTTTCGGATCAAGTTGGCTACCTCCTTGTTTGAGGAAGGTGTGGGGCCTTTGGCACCGTCTTTCAGTCCTGGAAGGGGTAACAATTCTCCAAAGCGCAATTTGACAACATTTATCAGAATTACAAATACCTACCCTTTTGACTCAGCAGTTCTAATGAAAGAATTTACCCCTCAGAGGTACTCCCACGTACAAAAAGTGAGGGACGTAAGGTTATTCTTTGCACTATTGTTTGTAACAGGCAAAGACTGGAAACAATCTAAGTGTCCATCAGTGGGGGACTTCTAAATAATTACGGTACTTCCAAACAAGGCAATACCATGCAGCCGTTAAAAAGAATGTAATTGGTCTATATTCACTGATACAGAATAATTTCTAAGATATATTAAGTGCCAAAGCAAAAGGAGATGATCATACATATTTGTTTATAAATATATGAAATATTGCTGGAAGGAGGTAAAAGAAACCACAAACAGGACAACTCAGTAATTAGGGCACAGAAAGAGAAGGAGGCTTTCTACTAATATGCTTTAGAAAAATCTTTTGAATTCTATTCTATTTGCGTGCATTGTGTGAACAAACTAAGTGTTTGTATACACGTTAGTGAGGGCACCTATGGAAAAAGAGGGATTTTAAAGTCTAACAGCTGTTTCCTCTGAGTGAGAGGCAGTGGAGTGGTCATCAGAAAGGATGAGAGGGAGGGACGGGCTCTCGACTCAGCCCTGCTCACCGGAGACCTCACTCTCCACAGCAACAGGCGGAGGTGGCCCGCATGGCCCGGACCCAGGAGGAGAAGCTGGCTGCTGCCCTCAGGGTGGAGTTACACAACACTTCGTGCCAAGTCCAGAGCCTCCAGGCTGAGACGGAATCCCTGCGGGCCCTGGTGAGTGGGCTAGGAAGAGCCCTGGCGTGTTTTGTGTCACTTTTAGCTCTCAACTGTCAGATTGTAGCTGTACAAGTCATCGTTTGCAAGGAATTCCCATCTCACAGCATATGAGTTTTGAGGCCTGAAAGGCTCATCTGATACTGAGTCACAAGTATAGTAGACATGGTTAGTGCCCCCCGGAAATACCCTTCACCAGGCTGTTGCGAATGTTGGCAGCTAACACCCATAGATGCCCCTTCTCAGCTGTCCCTCTTACCAGAGAATCGCCCTGGCCTAGGAGGTTAGGCCAGCCTACCTTCCCAGCCAGTGATTCACTCACAGAGGGATTGAAAAGCCCAGCCCACCTGCTTCAAAGTGAGACTGCTCTATGGTGCAATTCACAATCCAGAGCTCTCCGTGGGATCAGGCTGTAGCCAGACTCCAGCTGAGACCCCCTCCTGGCCTAGCGCCTTCTCCTGTCCTATCCTGCTTTCCTTGCTCCCCTTCTCCTGGGAGCAACCCCTCAATTATTTACATGTACCAAGATCCCCATCTCAGGCTCTGCTTCTGGGGAACCCAACCTAAGACTAGTAAGCTCATGAGCTCCTCAAAGTCACTGGGGTTTGTGGGCAGGTCTCTTGCATCATCATTATTATTATTATTATTATTAATTAAAATAATTACTAATAACATAGCAATCGACCCTCTGATTGCTGATCTTCCGAGAAGGCCCCTCCAGGGGGCCATGTTTGCCTATTTGAACCACAGCATGTTGTACACACTGGAGTGTTCGAAGGGGTTGGTTTGTGTCACCCTCGTGTCACCTGAGGCGGTCTGGATGCCATTGAGGCCCAAGAAGCCCCTCTCTTCCCTCAGTCTCCAGTCCTGGGGCTGTTCGGATACCAGTGCTGGTGTCCCTTCCGTCCACCACTCCCCACACACCCTCCTCTCAATTTTGCCACGCAAATCAGCTCCTTCACCAGACCACCAGCCCCACCTCCCACTGGAGCACAGACTACCGTGAAGTCAGCTCAAGAATTCGTTCTAGCTGGTTCCCCTCAGAAACGACTTTTTCTCTGCCTGTGGCAAGATCATCTCATCACCCCAGTTCCATTCTTCAAGTGTCTTCATTCACCTGGGTCAGGGGTCCTCCAGCCAACTAGGTCACATGATGCCCATTCAGCTCAGGGAAGACGCTCAGTCTTGTCATGACACAACATGACACAACATACGTCTCGTATATCTACTTCTCTCCTCCTCGTTCTGTGATGGGATCTGGATCAGTGCAAGGCTATGTAAGTAAAGGATTTGAGGTGAGAAAAATCAAGAAGCTACGGCCTAAAGTAATGCTACTTTAAAAAATTGCCTGAAAGAGGGGCTGGCCCCGTGGCGCAGCGGTTAAGTGTGCACGTTCTGCTTCTGCGGCCTGGGGTTCATCGGTTTGATCCCAGGTGTGGACATGGCACCACTTGGCACACCATGCTGTGGTAGGCATCCTACATATAGAGTGGAGGAAGATGGGCATGAATGTTAGCTCAGGGCCAGGCTTCCTCAGCAAAAAGAGGAGGATTGGCAGCAGTTAGCTCAGGGCTAATTTTCCTCAAAAAAAAAAAACTGTCAGAAAGAGATTGCATTATTTATTCAGTTATGTGAATTTTCTGCTAATCAGTTTTATTCACCTGCCATAACCCTTGATAAACATCCTACTATCAGGGGTGCTGCTTTTTGTCCAAATTGCTTTAGGCACAATTAAGGGGCTGTCATTTCTTTCCCAGATGTCCTTGTGGCTGCCAAAATTGCCACTCTTCCAGTGATGGAAAGTTCCAGGGAAAAGGTTGGGGACATATCCTCCAGCACACATCATCAAAAAAAGCCTTATGAATCACAGCCTAAGTGGCAGGGGGCCCATCCCTCAGCACACATCCACACAAGTATGTTGGGCGCCCGCTGGTTCTAAGCCCTCCCGTACATCCTGGGGATGCAAATGAATCCGAGGGTTCCTGCCCCCCAAAGCTCAGAAGCTGAGTGCTAAGAGAAAACCTGCGCACGAATGACTGACCACAGCAGAGGGGGACTGTGTTCCCCAGAGGGGCGGCTCCAGCAGTCTCCATTCTCAGCAAGCCCCCGGCCCACCCTCACCTCTGTCCCTCAGCAGGTACTGTCACCCGCACCATTCCGCAGATAAGATTAAGGTCCCCCAACGTGAGGTCTCTCTGGCTTCCATTTCCCATCTCAAAATATCTCTGAAGCTTTGTCCAACCTCTCCTCCCTTCAATAGGCTTTACCTGTCCCCTGTTACACCATCTGGGATGTTCCTCTATCTACTATCCCTTCTTTCAATGTCCCTATGCCCTGCGGTTGCCTGGGGGTAAAACAGAAAGCCTTCCTTTGCCAGCACCACCCAGCTCGGACTTTATTTTAAGGTCCAGAACTCACCTTTTGCTTTCCTACCCTTGAACCCTTGGACATGTTCTTCCCCTGGCTGGAAGGAGACCCCCTCCCCGCAGCTCTGCCCTCCTCTACCTCTCCTCTCCTCCACACCCTTGGCACAGGTGAGATGGAAGACACCGAGGTGCTACACCCACGTGAAGCCTGGACCCCAACTCCCACAGCTGGGGGATCTCTCCCCCACCCACTCACATTCAGAGCACTGCGGGTCTCGTCGTTATATCAGCTTTCCACTGAAGTCACGTTAACTCCTTGAGGGCAGGGACCATGTCTAGTTAGTTTTATGTCCCCAAAATACTTCATATAATGCCCAAAATATAATTTCTTCAAAGTGATGCGAATAGTAACAAGAATGTGCTCACGTGCATTCTTTCATCAGATTCTCATAGAAACACGTAGAAGTGTGGGGATGGTGACTGCCAGCCCCATTTTTCAGAAGAGAAAACTGTGGCTCAGGGATATGCCCACTAACCTGAGTAACAAGTGGAGGAGCCAAACCCTGCAGCTCTATCACCCTACTACACCACAGCCGTCCTGTGGAACGGGAACTGGGCTCAGGCTCTGGAACCTGGAATCCCAGCTGTGTGACCTCTCTAAGATTCCGTTTGCTCCCTTGTAAAGTGAGGATCTGTTTTAGGTATCTTATCTGCCTGCTGTGTTCGTGGCTTAAGACAACAGTAAATCATTTGTCCATTCGTCCAGCATTCAAGCCCAGTTCGGCAGATAGCTCTTCTCTGTTCCACGTGGCACCTGCTCCGGCTGCAACATCCAAGAATGGCTTCTTCAGCTCACACATCTGGTGCCTCAGCTCTGCATCTCTTTTTCTTGCTCCACGTGGCCCCTCCACGTAGCTAGCTTTGACCTCCTCATCTTGTGGGACTTCTGACGTGTGGCATCTGGCTTCCCTCAGACTGTGAGCACAGAACCTACCAGGCCTCTTAACCCCTGGGCTTGAAAGTCCCTGAACACCACTTATATAGCCCGCTACTTGTCAAAGCAGCCACAGACCAGCCCAGATTCCACGAGAAGGGAGAAAAACTCCACCCCTTGATGAGGCAGTGGCAAGGTCCCATGGAGGAAGAGCCTGTGGGCTGCAGATCATTGGTGCAGCTGCCTTTGGAAATGTGACCTACCACTGGACCATAATAGAATTTTCCTCAAAAAGTCATTGGGTGATTGATTAGATGATGCAGGGCAAGCCCATAAAACAGTGCCTGGCAGAGGGAAGAGTCAAGAAGTGGTATCTATTATTAATTATCATTGTAAAATTATTCTTATAACCACTACTATAGTAACCCCAAGTTCGCATCATCTGGTTACCTCACTTAAACCCTGTGGTCCTAAGTGTTGGAACAAATGGGAAAAGAACTCACCCCCCCAACCGGAAGACGTGGGAGTAGTGGCATGCTGGCTGTGGTCAGGACCCAAGACAGGTTGTCTCGGCCCCTGCTGCCTGTAATAGATCAGAGTTCTGGTCACTGGGCCTTGAAGCCAAGGTGAGCTGGAACAGGCAGTACACTCTCCTACAGCTTTCAGATACCGCAGAGTCCATCCAGCCATCCCTGTTATCCTCAGCCAGAGCAACCTGCACACATACAAGGCCCTCATGACTTCTAAAAGCCTCACACAGCCGAGCTGGCAACACTTTCAGCCCCCTTTGCCAACAAGGCACTGTTTATATTGGCAGCCAGGCACCAACAACGGTGCTTGAGGCCTACTGAGCTCCGTGTTCAGTCAATTCAGATCAGGAATGGAATTCAAGGCCAGAAATCACAGGAGGTCACTATTTTACTTTCTGGGGGCTTAGCAATTCAAGGAAGTCTCAAATCTCCAGAGACTGGGGAATAAAGCTTGCTTCTGTGGTCTCCGTTTGCTGGTTCTCTGTCGCTGAATGGCCGAGACTAGGAGACCTGCAGCAGTGGCCTGATCATAGTCACTCAAGCTCAGGCATCTCTGTGAGAACTGGGCCAGCATGTCAGGGACTTAGCGGGGAAGCAGCGCTTGGGCTCTGAGGGTGGGATGGAAGAGACACAGGACCTCTGGTAAGAGTTCCCACAAACCCTCCTTGGGCAGTGGGTCCTAAGTCATCAGAGAAAACCCCAGGCCACATGGAGAAATCACCTATGAACATGGAGCGAACACTGTAGACAGATGATCCAACCATGATTCCATGAAAGGTTTTTCCAAATCACAGATGTTACAGGTCCAACGTCAACAACAACCACTCACAAACCAAGCAATTTCCTGATAAACAAAGGGAAACAACCCAGGGAGACTGGAACAAATGATTCTCAAAACCCAGATGGCCAACTCTGCATCCTCACTGCCACAGAGGGGTTTTCCGATCTCACCAGCAAAGCAGTAACCCTAGACCAAATATGATCCAGATTTATTTTCTGTTGATCACATTTTTTTTTTTTTATTAATGTTATGATAGATTACAACCTTGTGAGATTTCAGTTGTACATTTTTGTTAGTCATGTTGTGGGTACACCACTTCCCCCTCCGTACCCTCCCCCCACCCCCCCTTTTCCCTGGTAACCACCGATCAGATCTCCTTCTCAATATACTAATTTCCACCTATGAGTGGAGTCATATAGAGTTCGTCTTTCTCTGACTGACTTATTTCGCTTAACATAATGCCCTCGAGGTCCATCCACATTGTTGTGAATGGGCCAATTTCGTCTTTTTTTATGGCTGAGTAGTATTCCATTGTGTATATATACCACATCTTCTTTATCCAATCATCAGTTTCTGGGCATGTAGGCTGGTTCCACGTCTTGGCTATTGTAAATAATGCTGCGATGAACATAGGGGTGCAACGGACTCTTGAGATATCTGATTTCAGGTTCTTAGGATAGATACCCAGTAATGGGATGGCTGGGTCATAGGGTATTTCTATTTTTAACTTTTTGAGAAATCTCCATACTGTTTTCCATAGTGGCTGTACCAGTTTGCATTCCCACCAACAGTGTATGAGGGTTCCTCTTTCTCCACAACCTCTCCAACATTTGTCGTTCTTGGTTTTGGATGTTTTTTGCCAATCTAACGGGGGTAAGGTGATATCTTAGTGTAGTTTTGATTTGCATTTCCCTGATGATTAGCGATGATGAACATCTTTTCATGTGTCTATTGGCCATATTCATATCTTCTTTTGAGAAATGTCTGTTCATGTCCTCTGCCCATTTTTTGATCGGGTTGTTTGTTTTTTTGTTGTTAAGCAGTGTGAGTTCTTTGTATATTATGGAGATTAACCCTTTGTCGGATAAGTGGCTTGTAAATATTTTTTCCCAATTAGTGAGCTGTTTTTTTGTTTCAATCCTGTTTTCCCTTGCCTTGAAGAAGCTCTTTAGTCTGATGAAGTCCCATTTGTTTATTCTTTCTATTGTTTCCCTCAACTGAGGAGTTACAGTGTCCGAAAAGATTCTTTTGAAACTGATGTCAAAGAGTGTACTGCCTATATTCTCTTCCAAAAGACTTATTGTCTCAGGCCTAATCTTTAGGTCTTTGATCCATTTTGAGTTTATTTTGGTGTGTGGTGAAAAAGAATGGTCAATTTTCAATCTTTTGCATGTGGCTGTCCAGTTTTCCCAGCACCATTTGTTGAAGAGACTTTCTTTTCTCCATTGTAGGCCCTCTGCTCCTTTGTCGAAGATTAGCTGTCCATAGATGTGTGATTTTATCTCTGGGCTTTCAATTCTGTTCCATTGATCTGTGGACCTGTTTTTGTACCAGTACCATGCTGTTTTGATCACTGTAGCTTTGTAGTATGTTTTGAAATCGGGGATTGTGATTCCGCCGGCTTTGTTTTTCTTGCTCAGGATTGCTTTAGCAATTCGCGGTCTTTTGTTGCCCCATATGAATTTTAGGATTGTTTGTTCAATTTCTGTGAAGAATGTTCTTGGGATTCTGATTGGGATAGCATTGAATCTGTATATTGCTTTAGGTAGTATGGACATTTTAACTATGTTTATTCTTCCAATCCATGTGCAAGGAATGTTTTTCCATCTCTTTATGTCATCGCCTATTTCTTTCAAGAAAGTCTTGTAGTTTTCATTGTATAGATCCTTCACTTCCTTGGTTAAGTTTATCCCAAGGTATTTTATTCTTTTCGTTGCGATTGTGAATGGGATAGAGTTCTTGAGTTCTTTTTCTGTTAGTTTATTGTTAGTGTATAGAAATGCTACTGATTTATGCACGTTAATTTTATACCCTGCTACTTTGCTGTAGTTGTTGATTATTTCTAATAGTTTTTCTGTGGATTCTTTGGGGTTTTCTATGTATAAGATCATGTCGTCTGCAAACAACGAGAGTTTTACTTCTTCGTTACCTATTTGGATTCCTTTTATTTCTTTTTCCTGCCGAATTGCTCTGGCCAGCACCTCCAGAACTATGTTGAATAGGAGTGGTGAAAGTGGGCACCCTTGTCTTGTTCCTGTCCTCAGAGGGATGGCTTTCAGCTTTTGTCCATTGAGTATGATGTTGGCTGTGGGTCTATCATATATGGCCTTTATTATGTTGAGGTACTTTCCTTCTATACCCATTTTACTGAGGGTTTTTATCATAAATGGGTGTTGGATCTTGTCGAATGCTTTCTCTGCATCTATTGAGATGATCATGTGGTTTTTGGTTTTCATTTTGTTGATGTAGTGTATCACGTTGATTGACTTGCGGATGTTGAACCATCCCTGTGTCCCTGGTATAAATCCCACTTGATCATGGTGTATAATCTTTTTGATGTATTGCTGTAATCGGTTTGCCAAAATTTTGTTGAGGATTTTTGCATCTATGTTCATCAGTGATATCGGCCTGTAGTTCTCCTTCTTTGTGTTGTCCTTGTCAGGTTTGGGGATCAGAGTGATGTTGGCTTCATAGAATGTGTTAGGGAGTTCTCCATCTTTCTCAATTTTCTGGAACAGTTTGAGGAGAATAGGTATTAAGTCTTCTTTGAATGTTTGGTAGAATTCTCCAGAGAAGCCGTCTGGTCCTGGACTCTTGTTTTTGGGGAGGTTTTTGATTACCGTTTCTATTTCCTTACTTGTGATTGGTCTATTCAGATTCTCCATTTCTTCCTGATTCAGTTTGGGGAGATTGTAGGAGTCTAGGAATTTGTCCATTTCTTCCAGGTTGTTCAATTTGTTGGCATATAGTTTTTCATAGTATTCTCTTATGATCTCTTGTATTTCATTGGTATCTGTTGTGATTTCTCCTCTGTCATTCCTGATTTTATTAATTTGCGATTTCTCTCTTCTTTTCTTGGTGAGTCTGGCTAGGGGTTTGTCAATTTTGTTAATTCTTTCGAAGAACCAACTCTTTGTTTCATTGATCCTTTCTATTGTCTTTTTTGTTTCAATATCGTTTATTTCTGCTCTTATTTTTATTATTTCCCTCCTTCAACTGACTCTGGGCCTTGTTTGTTCTTCTTTTTCTAGTTCTGTTAGGTGTCGTTTGAGGTTGCTTACGTGAGCTTTTTCTTGTTTAGTGAGGTGAGCCTGTATTGCGATGAATTTCCCTCTTAGGACTGCTTTTGCTGCATCCCAAATGATTTGGTATGTCGTGTTCTCATTTTCATTTGTCTCCAGATAATATTTGATTTCTTCTTTAATTTCTTCAATGATCCATTGTTTGTTGAGAAGCGTGTTGTTTAGTCTCCACATTTTTGCACCTTTCTCTGCTTTTTTCTTGTAGTTGATTTCTAGTTTAATAGCGTTATGATCAGAAAAGATGCTTGATATTATTTCAACTCTCTTGTATTTATTGATGTTTGCTTTGGTTCCCAAAATATGGTCAATCCTTGAGAATGTTCCATGTGCACTTGAGAAGAATGTGTAACCTGCTGTTTTTGGATGAAGTGTTCTATATATATCTATTAAGTCCATCTGGTCTAATTTTTCATTTAATTCTATTATTTCCTTGTTGATTTTCTGTCTGGATGTTCTGTCCATTGGTGTTAATGGTGTGTTGAGGTCCCCTACTATTATTGTATTGTTGTTGATGTCTTCTTTTAGTTCTATTAAGAGTTGCTTTACAAATTTTGGTGCTCCTGTGTTGGGTGCGTATATATTTATAAGTGTTATGTCTTCTTGGTGGAGAGTCCCTTTTATCATTATATACTGTCCCTCTTTGTCTTTCTTTATCTGTTTTGCTTTGAAATCTACCTTGTCTGATATTAGTATAGCGACACCTGCTTTCTTTTGTTCATTATTAGCTTGGAGTATTGTTCTCCATCCCTTCACTCTGAGTCTGTGTTTGTTGATCACATTTTGCCACCTGTAAATGTACCTAGGATGGGAATCTGATTCAACATCCTCATATCCTATGCAATTAAGAAGACTTAAACAAGATAATATGGCTCCCCCTGCTTAATTCCAGATGGCATCATGGCCAAGAATCTTCCATTTCAGCCATGGTGGTCAAAAGGGAGTGAAAAATCTCCTGGGGGGCAGGGTACAGAAACTTGTTTCATCTAGATTTGATTCAATCCAATTTAGAAAGATATTTATTTGTTTCTTATGTGTTATATAAAAAGCCAGATGCTAAATTATAGATGCACCATAATTACTATTAAAAATGTTAAAGACAGATGTCCACAGTTTTTTGAAGGTGTTTATTGGCCAGCCCTACAGTTTGCAGGGCTTGGTGTATGGCAAGATGAGAAGGTTTCCAGTCTGATGGGAAGACAGGAATGGCAATAAGTGTAGCCATAATACAAGTGTTGTCATCCTGGGCAATATACACACACAAACACCCACTCCGTGCCAGGCACTGTCTTGTCACTAGGGCTACAGAAACTTCGTTCCTGCTCTCAAAGAGCTCACCATCGGGTAAAGGAGACATGCCCCTAAGAAGCTCAGCCCACTATGGTGAGTTCAGGGCATGCGTGTGCCTTGGCAGCCACGGAAACCCAGCGAGGGGCCCCTAACCCAGTCCGGTGGTGGCAGGGGCAAGAGAGTGTCTAGGGAAGGTGAGCCTGGACTTGGGGATGAGTAGGAGTGAGCCAAGCGAGGAGGAGGAGGAGATACAAGCCCAGATTTGGACCTTGGCCAGAGCACTGTGGCTGCCATGTGGGGCATGCAGGACGAGAGCAACTAGAGGCGGGGAGAAGAGCTAAGAGGCCTCTGAGGTGATGCCAGGTGAGAGGTGGTATGCATCGATCCTGGGCTTTGGTGGCTGGAAAGAGGGCACAAATGTGAAAACTTCTCAAAATATACAAGAGGCAGGACTATGACGACTGAATTTGGGAAGGAAGAAGATCAGAAACATGTCTTTCCCCAGTTTCTAGCTCATGTGAGTGCACCAGCTGAAGCACAGAATAGGAGGGGCCAACAGGTTCAGAATGCCTCCGTTTTGGACACCTTGATTCGAGGCGCCCGTGGACTGTATGTTTCCAGTAAGAAGTTCAGTGGTGGGTCCGTGCCTGGGGGAGAGATGTGTGCTGGAAATACCAGTGCAGGAGTCATCGGCAGAGGGACAACCAAAATCAGGATTGTGGAAGACACCAACCATCGCAGGCCCGGGAGGCAGAGCTCGGAGAGAAGTGGGCTCAGCATGGGGCACCGAGGAACCCACAGTGACGGGGCAGCAAGAGAAAAGGAATTAGCCCAGATGTGCCACTAAGACACTAAGGGAAAAAAATGCTGACTCTACAAAGGCCAGAGACAGTCGTTCTAACAACCGCAATCTGGGAAAGAGCGCTGGAGGAGATGGCATCTTAGCTGAGTGATGTGCGGGGTGTCAGCAGCCACCCCGGGAGTGAGAAATCATGAGCAAAAAGGCCCAGAGGCAGTTCAGAGAGCAAGATTTCTTTGTAGAAACACCTGCAAACTGCCTCTCATCTCTCTCTCATTCTCTCACTCATCTCTCATTCTCTCTATTACACCTCATCTCTCTCCCTCCACCCTCCCTCCTCCCTTCTCTGTCTTCCTTTCCTCCTCCCATCCCCCATCAGAAGGATCAGTGAATTAGACTAAACAGAGTCAGGCCTCCTGAGGAGGATTCATTATTCCACCCCCCACCCCCACCCCCGCGAGCCACGTAAGCCTAGCAAGGTCATTGTCCTTGGAGAAATGGACAGACCAGGCCCGTGCCAGCCCCTCCCACTGCTGTACGCACCCCCCGCCCCCCACCAAGGGCCCTGCCTGGTGGCCTTGGGTTTGGACCTGTGCTCGCTCTTTTGTAGAAACGAGGCCTGGAGAACACCCTGCACGATGCCAAGCACTGGCACGACATCGAGCTGCAGAACCTGGGCGCCGTGGTGGGCCGGCTGGAGGCGGAGCTGCGGGAGATGCGCGCCGAGGCCGAGCAGCAGCAGCAGGCGCGCGAGCATCTGCTGGCGCACAAGTGCCAGCTGCAGAGGGACGTGGCGTCCTACCACGCCCTGCTGGACCGGGAGGAGAGCGGGTCAGTCTCTTGGCTTCTTTAATTATGAAAGGAATTCATACCCATGGGTTTAAAAATAATTTTTTCGAAGACTATAAAAGTAATTAAAGTAATTAATTCCAAACTTCCCAACACCCATCCACACACACAGCCTAGTTGTGTCCTTCCGGGATTTTTCTATTCACATATACACAAATATATAGACAAATATATATTAGATGCCTATATACACTGTATACATTTGTGTATTTCTGTATACATGAATATAAACATACATAGACATGAGTACATGTGTTCATACGTGTCTGGTACATACATAGTATGTTATGCATGCTTTCAGCTGCGTGTAATAGACCCTAATTAATGAGGCTATAAACCATTGATCCTGAAACTTTAATGTGTACTCAAAACACCCAAAACCTGGGCATCTTTTTTAAAGTAGATTCTGCTTCAGCAGGTGCCAGGGTCGGGGCGGGGGGGGGGGGGATTTCTCATTTCTAACAAAACTCTCCGGTGATGCCCATGCTGCTGGCCTACAGACCACCCCCTGAGCAGCAAGGGCATAAGCCGTGTTTATTTAATGGTTCCAGAAATGAGGTCGTCTAGGCTGCTCAGTGACTTCATTGAGGTCCCAAGCTCTTTTCATCTTTCGAATATAGAATCCCTGATATATTAACTTTTTGTCTCCATCTTTGTCACCCATGGTGGCCAATCCCTGCCACAGCTCCAGACGTCGTATCCTCGTTCATGGCAAGAAAGGGGAGGGAAGACAGGACAGCAAAAAGGCTTTTCCCTGCGTGGCTCTCTTCTTTTATCAGGGAAGGACAGACGTCTTTTGAAGGCCTCCAGTGGGCCTTCCGTTATAGCTCATTGACCAGAACCTGCTCACATGACTACACCTGCCTCCAAGGGATGCTGGGAAAGCACCTATTAGCTTTTCCAACCTCCATACTGGAGAAAAGCAAGGGCTTAGGAATGGCATATCTATGTCTATGATGTATACATGTGCGTGTGTATATATACACATATACACGTTTTTGTATACATATGCACATGTATATGCATCCGTGCCATCTTTTTGTAATGGGTAAGGATCCCAGGGGCATATGCATGAGTCTTGAGGCTTGGCTTCCTTGCCAGCTCGCTAAGGAAATCCAAGCCTTTATTTTATCATAATTCTCTGTCTTCATAGTTTCCTCCAAGGTCCCTTCTAGGGCATCCACTGAATAAGGAATAGAATATCAGCTCTAAGGGAAGCCTTAGTCATTGTACAGTCCAACCTCTCAAGATTCCAGAGAGAAGAAGGCCCAGAGCTGAAAGGATTCATCCACGATCACATGGGGAGGTGGAGGCAGAGCTGGGACGGAGCCCGGGTCTCCTGCTCTCTCCAACGCGCGCGCGCGCGCGCGCGCTCCCTCGCTGTGTAACTTTCTTTCTTCAGAAGGCGAGAGAGCCCCAGGGAAGCAACCTGACCCTCCTCCTTTCATGTGGAAAATATCTCATCCAGCCTCTTTCCAACCGCCTTTTTATTGGATTGATTTCTGTTGATTATAAAAGCTAGATGTTGCTAACAAAGCTCATTTTTTCAGATGCCTATGGACATCTGGATAAACATGCAAAATTGTTTTAAACAAGTACGAAAAGTAATGAGTTGGGCTGAATTGACTTCAAGAACTCCATTTAGTGAGTGCCTGTTATGTGCCAGCACAGTCTTAAGTTCTTTGTTATTTTCATTTCTCCCCACAACTCTGCCAGGACATCATCATTTTACCCCATTTTACAGATAGGAAACAGCCTCAGAGAGCTTAAGTCATTTGCCTGAGGTCACACAGCTAATAACCACGGAGCGGGGATTTGAAACCCAAACTGTCTTGTTCCAAAAGCCAAAGTCTTCCCATGAGACACCTGGCTTTCCTCTAATCCTACTATGAAATCTCCTAATTTTCATCGTCCATGGCCTCTCTCACTCATAGGTGCTTTTTGTTTGTTTCAGCTAATGAAGAAACTTCCTCTCTTCATGAAGAAAATGCTGCCTTCCTCACCCAGTGGCCAATGAAGTTCCTCGAGGAGCTCTCCCACCACCACCCCCATCGGCCCTCACCCCCAACCCTCCCACTCCCACCCCTACCCCGAGATGGAGTCCCTGCTGGATTCCCTGGTTGAGCTGAAAACCTTCCTGGGAGTGGAGAGGGTCCTTCTGCCTTAATTTAAGTAGTCTGTAGCTTGAGCAACCTCCCTTGGCCCTCTCCAAATAAATGCTTTGTGTGCGGCTTCCAGTCTGCCCACCTTGTTCAACTCACCATCGGATCGAGGTGGCTATCACTTTCCCTGCCTGGCCTCTGCTCATGGAGCTATTCTTAAAGGCTTCTGGAAAGGTCCTTGAGCGTGACTACATCTGCCTCATCATCCAAGCGTCAGCTGCTCTCTGGTTTATCTATGGAAATGTGCTGCTTGGGCAAGAGTTGTGCTCATGGCATACGAGACTGCCACAATTCGGGGCAAAAACAACAGTCTTGCTAGAGAGGGGACTGGCGTGCTGTTCTATTGCGTGTGTCGTAATTGCAGGCATCACCGAGCATTCAGACCTCTCTCACGTCCTCTGCGTGGGTATTTATGTGCAGACACACATTTCACTGCTCTTGGCAGACCCCCTCAATCGGTTTAAAGGGAACTTCGGTTTCAGTCTGTGGGGGATTAATTAGGTTGTGGTTGCCTACCCGACTCGCAGCCTCAGAATTTTCTTCCAGCTTCCTTCCCCAGCACTCTCAGGGCCCGGGCCAGCGAGGTATAGTTTGTGCAGCTGCCACCTACTCAGGCAAGACTCCCCTGCCTTCTGATTAAAAATGAAACCACCACCTGTGTCCTACTACAGGCTCTCAGTGCCTCCAAAACCACACACACAGAAAAAGCCCGGCCTTAATTTCTTAATTCTTCCCCCAAGCTTGTCTCAGTCGACCTGTCGCACAGAATTTCAGACCAAAATAGCCAAGCTGAGTCGTTGTCCTCATCAGCTGCTAATCCAGACAGGAGGATGTGTCCAAGATGGGCACATTCGAAGACACCCCCCAGTACCTGGGGTTCCAAATAGCCAAGGACGGCTGACATAAATAGAAGAAACCTCATTTACCCATAAGAAAGCTTAAAAGAGAAGCAAGGCAAGAAATGGCGTCTCCTAGTTGAAATTGCTCCAACTGGTTTCCCTTTTTGGCTTCCAGGATCAAAGGAATTGTGTTAATAAGCCACTGGGCAGGACAGCTGTTTACAGTTTGCACGACGCCTTTGCACGATTCCATTTGTTGTTTGAGGCACAGAAATAGTCAAGACACCACCTAATGCTCCAGTTCAGCAAACCTCCAGCCCCTTTGGAGCTGCACACCCTGGAGGTGCCCATAACTGACCCACTGTGTCCAAGGGCCTCCTCAGAAGACAGAGTGTGCGGCTGACCTAGCTATGTTCCATGTTCCATGCACCACACACTGAGGTCAGCGATTAATTTTTTGTCCCCCAGCCAAGACCTAAATCCCTAACCTAAACACACCCGGAAGGCCCCAAGAGGTCAGCCGTCATGAGGGGGTACTTCTGTGTCTAAATGGCTGTGCGTTTTCCAGAACCTGGAAGCCGTTTCAGCCATTGGACAAAGGAGAGAATGGATTTGCACACCCTCCTGAGTTTCCAGCCGACAGCATGCCGTGCCCGGCTGCACACACACTCGCTCTCCTGCGCTCCGTGATCTCACAGAGCAGCTGCCGTAAATCATTAAGTTAATCATCCTTTGGCAGGGAGAGCCGAGGCAGACTGGCGCTTCAGTTCACAGCACGGTCTCTTGCTGCTTCTAATGAGGCTTCGTTAACAGGTAAGAAAAGGCGCTGCTGGCCCTCGACTCCGCCAGAGCCTTATTTAACACAGGCTTCCTCTCACAACATCCGCGACAGTTACACTCTGGCAGCAGTTCCCTGACAGGTGGTGGGGGGGGGGGGGGGGGGGCTGCTGCTTGTGTGGGTGTCAAGGACAGAGCATTTGCTCTGGAGCAGACCAGAGAAGGGCTTCCGATGGACTCCTCCAAAAGCACAGACGAGCTCTATTTCCAAACCAGGTAACTCCACTGGCCCCTGGCCAGCACCTGGAGCATGGCGCACACTCCCAATGAGTCGCTAGACCATCTATGGGCTTTCTGACCAGAGCCGTTAAATCACCCCTTCGTTATCATCTGTCACACTTCTGAGCACCTACAGGTGCCCAGACATTCTGTTGGACTTTGGGATACCAGTAAAAAGAAGGCACAGTTTCTGCCCTGGCGGGTTTACAATCTCATTGGGGAGTGTAGGTGTGCACGTAAACGGAGGAACAAAGCAAAGCACGCAGAGCAGCACCTTACAGTTTGCACGACCCCTTCATATAATTCAGTTTATCACAGAAGGCATGAAAATAGACGTCCACATCCGATCCCTGTTGGTTTCCAGTAAGATGATTCAGCAAGAATCCTCAAACACCATGCCGGTCTCTGCTTAGCTCTAACTACCCCACAGATAGTCTTTTTTTTCCTCCAGACTTATGGACATAGAATTGGCCTACAACACTGCATCATTTTAAGGTGTACAGCATAATGACTCGACTTCCATATATCATGAAATGATTACAATAAGTTAGCACCCACCATCTCATATAGACAGAAAAAAAATTGTTTTTCCTTGTGATAATCACTCTAAGGATTCACTCTCTTAACAACTTTCATGTCTATCATAGAGCAGTGTTAACTATAGTCATCATGTTGGACACTACACCCCTAGTACGTATTTATCTGATGACCGGAAGTTTGTACCTTTTCACCACCTTCATCCGATTTCCCCTTCCCCCACCCCCCACCTCCAGTAACCGCAAATCTGGTCTCTTTTTCTATGAATTTGGGTTTGTTTTGTTTTGTTTTAAGATTAAGTTCTCATGCTCCACTTTGGTAGCCTGGGGTTCATGGGTTCAGATCCTGGGTGCAGCCCTAAACACCACTCGTCAAGCCAAGCTGTGGCAGCATCCCACATGCAAAATAGAGGAAGATTGACACAGGTTCGCTCAGAGCCAATCTTCCTCACCAAAAAAAAAAAAAAATTCCACATTCCACATTCCACATGTAAGTGAGATCAAACAGTATTTGTCTTTGTCTGACTTATTTCACTTAGCATACTACTCTCCAGATCATCTGTGTTGTCGCAAATGGCAGAATGCCTCCTTTTTATGGCTGAATGGTATTCCATTGGATATATATAACACATTTTCTTTATCCATTCATCTATCAGTGGACACTTAGGTCGTTTCCACATCTTGGCTATTGGAAATAACACTGCAATGAACATGGGGATGCAGATATCTTTTCAAGTTAGTGTTTTCATTTCCTTCAGATATATACCCAGAAGTGAAACTTCTGGATTGTTCGGTAGTTCTATTTTTAATTTTTTAAGGAACTTTCATGCTGTTTTCCATCACAGCTGCACCAGTTTACAATCCCACCAACAGTACACAAGGGTTCCCTTTTCTCCACGTCCTCGCCAACACTTGTTCTCTCTTGTCTTTTTGATGCTAGCCATTCAAACAGGTGTGAGGGTATCTCACTGTGGTTTTGATTTGCATTTCCCTGATGATTAGTGATGTTAGGCATCTTTTCATGTAGCTGTTGGCCATTCACATATCTTCTTTGGAAAAATGTCTATTCAGGTCCTTAGCCCATTTTTTAATTGGATTATTTTTTTTGCTATTGACTTGTGTGAGTTCTTTATATAATTTGGATATTCACCCCTTATCTGATATATGGTTTGCAAATATTTCTTCCCATTCTGTAGGTTGTGTTTTCACTTTGTGGATTGTTTCTTTCGCTCTGCAGAAGCTTTTTAGTTTGATGCAGTCTTACTTGTTTATTTTTGATTTTGCTGCTTGTGCTTCAGGGGTCATGTCCAAAACCCGTCGCCAAGACCCAGATCAAGGATCTTACCACCTATGTTTTCTTCTAGGTGTTTTATGGTTTCCGGTCTTACATTTAAGTCTTTAATCCATTTTGAGTTAATTTTTGGAGTAGTGCAAGATAGGTGTCTAGTTTTATTCTTTTACAAGTGAATATCCAGTTTTCCCAGCACCGTTTATTGAAGAGACTGTCTTTTCTCCACTGAGTATTCTTGGCTCCCTCGTCAAATATTCATTGACCCTATATGCATGGATTTATTTCTTGGCTCTCAATTCTGTTCCATTGGTCAATGTCTGTTTTGTGCCAGTACCATACTGTTTTGATTACTATAGCTTTATAATATAGCTTGAAATCAGGACGTGTGATGCCTCCATCTTTGTTCTTCTTTCTCAGGATTGGTTTAGCTATTCGCTATTCTGGGTCTTCTGTGGTTCTATGTAAATTTTAGGATTGTTTATTCCACTTCTATAAAAAATAACTTTGGAGCCTTGATAGAGATTGCGTTGAATCTACAGATGTCTTTGGGTAGTATGGACATTTTAACAATATTAATTCTTGCAAGCCATGAACATAGGTACCTTTCCATTTATTTGTATCTTCTTCAATTTCTTTCATCCGTGACTTATAGTTTTCAGTGTAGAGATCTTTTACCTCCTTGGTTAAATTTATTCCTAAGTATTTTTTTGTTTTTTATGCTATTGTACTACGGATGTTCTTTCATAAACCCTTACATCATCTTTTTTTGTTTTGAGAAATGGCAAAAGAGGATGGTGTCTCTTTGAGGCAATTCTAGCATCTTATCTAGGGTTGCTGGACTTAGCAAATAAAAATAGTGGATGCCCAAGTAAATTTGAATTTCAGATAAATAACAAATAATTTTTTAGTAAAACTATGTCCCATATAGTGCACGAGACATACTTCTGCTAAAAAGTTATCTGGAAGGTCTAATCAAATCACACAGAAACACTCCACATTCGTATTCCCCACCTAGTGATCTGACCTCAAGTGACCCATGAAGGTGTGTCCAGCATTTCCAGCTTAGATATCCCAACACACAAGAAGGGGAGGCGATGACCCAGGCCGAGTCCTTGCCCCTGGAAACTCACTCCCCTAACACAACAGCACGGCAGGTCCAGTCATGTTCAAGAAATTAATCTGCTAGTTGAGTGAAGAAATAAAGCAAACTATTTTCTCAGCTGAAGCGACTGGCTGAATTGGATCGTATAGACTGGTTATTTTGAACAATAGGTTGGGCAGGAACCGGAGTGGATCCCAGCACAGATGTGCTACACTTCAGAGTCAACAGAAAACCCAATTTTCCCTGACATGCCCAAGAAGAAATATTCCATTTT